GTTTTTATGACATGAGTAGTTGACTGACGGACGGCACGAGGACAAAAGAAACAATTGGCAACGTTGTGAAGCTATCATAACGACACCTAATTGTACGGCCCTATAAAACTGGGTGGTCCTCATTATAAAAAATCAGACGAATCGCGATCAATTTTCCATTGATCGCTTTTAGACATTGCCTAACACAATTTCAGCTAATTCACTTATAGTATGATTGACGAGTGGGTGAATGCCCTTGAAAAATCAAAATGAAGAGAACAGAACAGATGAACCGAAACCAATGTTCCAATTTTAACGACTCATTCACATTGTTGAAAAAAAGCATTGACCGATTTCAACAAGTTTGGAGAAATAAAACATTGACTATTATTTTCTTTTTGGCAAAATATATCAAAAATTTCAAAATTTCTTTAAAAATGTTCACAACTCATACCAAATCTATAAAGAAAATTGAGTACTCATCTTGAAGAAATTGCACGCGTTCATCGCTAGATGAGAAGGAAACAATTTTAATAAGCGAATCCGCAAGATGGACATTGTCGGTCTAAAAGATGAAATAAAGTGGGTTCTCAAGTGCCGAAAGAGCTGCAACGAGAAAACGCGATGCTTCAACATCCATGGAACAACTAGTAGAAACGTGTTTGCGAAATTCCGATGGTTTCACTCATCGAGCACATCAATTCGCGTATTCATTCGTCTTCAAGAGAATGGATTTAACAAAAAACTCGATTCTCGATCATAAAATCCAATAGAATGGAATGGGTTCTAGACAAAGTAGTAAGCAAGATGGTTGAATAGTTGAATGGGGGGGGGGAGATGGAATCGAAAGAATTCGGCGGTACCGAGAGCGGCTAAAAAGCGCAGGTAAAATGAAAAAGCAATAGGCGCGACATAAAAAGCGGCGGTTTGTTTTCACAAGCTTTCACAAATCCATTTCGAGATGAATGGTCAAAAACGGGAAGAGGAGCGCGAGGGGCAAAGGTTGGCGCGAGTTGCGCGAAAAAGCACCAAATCCTCTCAAAACAATCCGACAAAAACTGCCCATTATTTCGGATTTAGCTTCTTTGCAAACGTCCAACTATGCTCAATTTTCTTCTTGATCATTAAAAACGTATGCATCACAGGAAGAGGTCATTGTCGCCAAAATGTCACATTTCTCATACACATGCTTGTCTGTCAATTTTTTCGGACAACGGTTGGTTGACCGATGAATTCGAACGGCGTAATGACGTTTTCAACATTTCGACGACTAATGAGCCTGGCTCATACGATTCCGGTTAGATTCCACCTTTTGAGACCACAGATTTTTCTGCGAAATCTGACAATGACAAATAGCCAATTATGCATTTGATTCATTTTTGAAAAAAAAAGAAGAAAACAAATTCTACCAAATAAGGAATCGTTTGAAAATTTCGATAGCTACGAACAATTCAAGAAAATTGAACGATTTGCAACAAAAATGACGACGGAGCCCCACGAGCAAATACCATTTTAGTACACAGAGACACACATGCTTAATCTGATACGTTTCGATGAACACAAACGGTATACATGTTTTCTATCAATGTTTGTTTTTCGTCCAAAATGTGAGCGGCTTAACGTCTTCGAGACAATGCAAACTTCAACTTTAATCTGGCCCCTTGAAAGTTTCGCCCACTTTTGCCACCATATCAGCAACGGTGCAGGCCGACATCGAATGACAAACGGATTAGCCATATTAGCCATCAATGCATATATTGACAGACAAGGGCCAAGCGACTGGTAGCTGCAGTCAACAAAAGCAAACAGTTAGAGGAGGGGGAGTGGGTGATGAGTTCTTTGAACAAAGAGTAGCACGACGGGAAGGAAAGGACAAAAGCAATTTATTAATTCTTCTTGAATAGAATCAAGATCGAATTTTTGTGGAGTCATGCTGAGATCGCGAATTATTAGGAAGATAGGTGCTAGGTGAGTGATGAATTACACTCCGTTTGAGAAACTTTTCATTTCTGTGTGTTTTCAACTTTTAGAATTCCTCAAAAAAAAAACAGAAATTGCTTGCTTTTTGAAATAAAACATTCAAGAGCACATCAAATATTAAAACATTTTTTAGTTTTTTACCCAACTATGGTACCATAATGGGTCGGAGTCTCTTTTAAATGATATAATGCGCTAAACCTGATGTGGCATATGCCATCTAGCCTAATTTGGTCTATAGATCTATATATAAAATCTATCTTCGCTACCAAGAATCATATGAGTTCGTATACAGAATCTCAATTAAAAAAAAACTGAAGCTAGTTTTCTACGATGACGGACGTTCTACGGTCATTTTTTCATTTCCTCCCCCACCCAGAAGGCAATATGTTCTCAAATAAGCCACTCCCATGCCAATATCTCAAACGATATTAATAATTTCTAAAAATATGTCGAGCGCCGCATATTGTACAGCGAGCGATGATGAGAAATGGCCACCAGAAGTAAACAGTAGAACGAAACGCGCCAAATCGTGCCAAATTACGCGTAAAAAAAGACATCAAGGCGGATCAGATTGCACACAAAAAAGGAATCGAGGAGGACCGTATTGATATATCATCGGACGGCTAGATGGCCAGTTTGATAACTGCGCGATGGAATAAATAAGGTCAACCGAGAGCAACTGAACGGCAACACTGAAGGAAATAATAACTACGAGACCCGAATCGCAAATAAAAATGGTAGGAAAAAATGGTTTCAAACAAAAACACAAACAAACAAACAAACAAGTGGCGTTTTACCTATTTTTGGACAATAAGCCGGTTAAACGAGAAAAAATGTCTGCAAAGGGTGGGGCGATAGGTATTCAGATGAAGATTGAAGCCATTCAAAAGTGGGTGAAAGCCAACAGAAGAATTCGCTCGATTTGCATGGGAGACGTTTTGATTAGATGACGACAGGCGAAAAAAAACCAACGAACGAACAAACGACGCCAACCGCCACGAGTGGATTTATTGACTTTTGCATATATATATATCAAGTCTTTCCGTTTCGATAACTATTCGGCATTCACTTCATTCATTCCATCAGCTGTACGGTTGTTATGGGAAGCTATAAGTGAAATTTCGGGAAAAAGTGGCCTACATTGAATAGTTACACGAACTGTTCAACCAAAACTGACAATTGACGAGCTATTCAAATAGTGATGGATCACCTGAAATCAATCTTGAACTAAATAATGCAATTTGAAATTATTAAAAGAATGTCTTCGCAAAAAATCTAATAATCGAGCTAAAATATTTTAATTAAAATTCCCAATGGACTGTTTCCTCAAAGTAACAACGATATGAGACTAACGATTTCGAAGAAATGTTGAGACCAATATGAATCATCTAGCAAATACTACATTTTGGCAGGAAACACCGCGAAATAGCGAATAATCGGTTGGCAATTATCGGATAATCAGGAGATTTTTTGTGGCAGAATATAGGAAACGCGCGGACGATTTGAAATAGCGAAAACTTGGGAAAACCGTGTAAATTGATCGCACAAAACGGCGACACTAACTAGCCGTCAAGGTTAAAAACAATGAGCGATAATTTTGGAAGTGAGTCATGTGGAATAGTGTGCTTGTCGATGAGACAATCGACCCGGTGTATCTCGATTTTACGATTCAACACATGGGCGTTCGGAATTGTGCGAAACTCAAATCTGTTCCGACGAAAAATGGTTGCAAGAAAACATTATTCGACGACACGATAATTGCCTTTCGCAAAATAATGGGAAACTCCTCTTCGAAAAAAAGCGAAGAATTATCAATTTGAACGGGTCATTCACCATCGAGAATATGATGACCGTTTTCAATTTCGATTCGGATTAACCCAGAACGCGCGTTTTGAAAGTAGACGATCCGCGAATGATAATCTCATGCCAATTCATTGTGAGAAAAGTTTGAAAGTCTAAATTATTATGAATAGAAAACGGCAATAGCAAACAAACTGAAATAAATCAGCGGGGGTCGACATTTATATTACTTTTCAATTATTTAATTATAAATTTTGAAAAAATATTCGTCGTGGGAATTTGATGATTTGAAATGACACCCCGTCAGTTGACACATTTGTTACTAACCAAGGTAATTAAAATGCCTTGCAATTTATGTTCTTTCACATTAATAAAGCTAGAATATGCAAAACTCGCTCCTAACAGTTTTTCATGATATACAAAACGACAATTAAAATAATGCCCAAAAAATCGCATTACTCAAAATCATAATACCTGAAAACCTGACGCTGCATGAGAGAAAATTGGAATTTAAAAAGAAGAAATGAACAAAAAAAATAACTGCGGTGTATGCACAGCAATACGCCTTATTTGACGACATTTTTACCGAATTTCAAGTTTTGACGTTTTCGGTTTCTATAGAAGAAACATGAAACATTTTGCTGTCCAAAATTGGCTTGTATAAAACAAATACGAGTTTGATACAATCAAGTGGAACATCCTCAAACGCTCAAGAGCAACAATAGACGAAAACCGAGCCTGTGAACACAACAAGGCGACATTGATCCTACCGTCGTGCGCAGGTGTGCATTCATGTTTGAACAGAAGTTTGAAAAAGTACAATGAATTCCGCAACTTGCCGTTTCTTTTTATAGGTGTTCCACAACGGCTTAGCTCAAAAAAATAATCTCAATGAATGAAAAGTGGCTTTATAAACCACCAAAATGATTCATCTGTTTGAAAAAAAACGTTGATTAAAAAATAATTTTCAATAAACGTTCCCAACTCGCAAATCTCTCACCTTGCAATATTATTTGTATTTGTGTACCACTTTGCTAGCAACAGTCAAGAGGTCCTCCCACGCAAAAGATAGGATCGCTTGGCTAAAGAGCACTCATTTATGGCACCAACTGATTGAAACAACAAAAACTGATGTATCGACAACTCAGAAACGACAAGGAATGCAGTATAATTTGGTCACTGGGGAGCTAAGCTGTGAACATATAAAAATGAAATCATCTACAAGGTTTTCTATTAAATTATTAATTTTGTTCCAATGCTTCTGTTACTAAACTGTCATCGGCAATTCCAGTGATATCCAATTCGACTAATTTTCGAAGGCAAGTAGAGCAAAGTCGGCGATTCTGCAAAAAAAATCGAAAATTCAGCTAATAAGCTTTTTTACAATGGTAAGTTGGGTTTTCTTTCACAAAAAGTGACCCAAATTTAAATTGGAACTAATTTATGATAGAAATTGGAACACTCTTAAATTTGAAAATTAAAAATAAGATACCGATTGTTCTTCTTGATTCAAGCATTCTCGTGCCAAGACCCTCGCTAAAACTCCCAAATCGTTACTATAGAACATATCTTCGAGAACATTCTTTCCAAGATTGATAATCTGTTCCAAAAAATGGAGTCGGCGTTCTAAAACGGATGTTTTTTCATCCTGATTTTCTGGGACACTCATCGACGTACTTGTCACCTTCTGATTAATCTCGCTAATAACGACATGACCGAAATCTGTGCACGCGATCGGATCATTAATAATTGGATCCGTAACCGCCGAAAAAGAAAGCGAGGTCTCGTCGAGAACATATATCAAATTGACGCAAAGTTCAAAAACGTCGGTTCCATCAAAAAACTTCAACGACTGGAAAAGTCGCGCGAAATATTCGCTATTGAGATAATCTAGAATATGACAGATTTTATGAATTATGTGCGAAATTGACCTACTTAAATGATCCAGCGTCGGCGGAATATTCGTTGTATACAATTTCGAAAGCAACTTCAGCGCATTGATCTGCAATCGTTTGAACGGCGAAATTTCAGATGGCGAATTTTCTTCGATGTTGAATGGCAACGACGTAATATCGACTAGAATAATGGGTAATCTTGACTCGATAAGCATTTGTTGAATAGTTTCCGAACATGGTAGTAAAGCAGTTATTGCTTCTATTGAAGCTAATCTCACGTGAGTATCCTGGTCCTTTAAATTTCTACTTGGTTATTTAGTAAAAAATACGATTTTCACCATTTGCAAAACAGTAAGTAGTTGCGAAATCCAATCAAAATCCATAGCCGACACGATTTTCAACGGAATTCTCGGGTCGGTTTTTCGGGTGATATCACAAAAAATTTCCAATCCTTTACACAAATCTCCATCGTTTTGACTAGACGAATAGCTGAGCTAAAAATTCCAAATCTTTTGTAGCAATCGTAAGAAAAAATATGTATTACCTCCTGTTTTTCCATAAAAATTTCATAAAGAGTTTCGCAAATCGAGCTCAATGTCCTTAAATCATAGCAGTTGTCAATGTTCGGCTCATACTCCAACACTTCTTGATTAATTGTGGAAAATGCGGTGTTGCTAAACGCAAAATTTTTAATAGCGGTTTTTTAAAATATTCTGTGTATTTTAAAAGAATAGTTAAATTTTAATGCGCAAAAAACAATTATTCTCTCAATTTTTCTTCAGAATTGAAATTTTCACGCATCCAAACCTACGAAATTATCAAAATTTCAAGCAGAAATTACAATTTAGTTGACGACAACACAGTGTTTTTGATCAAAATATAGCTTACTCAATGTGCGGACTGAGCAGTCTCAAGACTTCCAAAACAGCTTCATGACATTGAGCCAACGGAGCATTCGTCGTTTCTCGGACGGCATCAACTGCTTCTTGCGCCACCTTTTTAGCGTCAAGCGGTGCTCGATACATCGATCTCAACTCATCAAAAAAAAAAAATCCTAAAAATTCGAATAAAATTCATAGGTCAATCTTCGAGATAATATAACATTCCATATCAGGAATTTAAGAAAAAATGATAAAACATAAATCGAATTCAATCACATTTATCGTAAGTTTGTAACTCAAAACGAGAGTTGTCAATAATTTAATATTAGTTTATTATTATTATGAATAAGAAAAGCATCTAACAAGGATTCGACTTTTATGGAAAGTTCGAGAAGCGTGGCAACTTGTGATAGTTCTTGCTAAGTTTATTCGATTAAAAAGCGGTCTAGCAAGTCGGAAATGTAATCGAAGTCTTCATCATCACTGAAATCAATACAGAAATTAAATTATTTTCGAATTTAAAAAACTCACATATCCAAGAAGTCGGCAATTCGAGCTCTTCTTCTTGCACGCGGACTCTCTCCCGGATCGATGCTTCCATCAGGAAGTTGATGTTTGTAGAAGCATTTGTTGCCAAACGGGCACACACCTCGTTCGGAGCCCTGAAATCAAAATGCAAACATTAATTGTTGGTCTTTGCTTAATTGCCTACATTATAATATTTGCAAACTTTGCGCTTCAAATTCTCTTTGTAAATTTCGATGAGAACTTTTTTCTCCTGCTCTCCTTCCACCCACAGCACCGACGGAATCACATAGTCCGAGTGTTGGCGGCATTCCGGACACGATCGAACGACACTTTCATCGAGATCCGAAGTCTCATGCTTCGATCTCCATTCACGAATGCATGAGAGACAAAAGCAGTGTTTACAACCAGGAAGAATGCCGAATCGCAGTTCCTGAAATTCAATTGCAGTATTGAAAATGCTAATAAAACATTTTTAATTAAATTTTAGACTAAAAAACGACATGTTATTTTTATTTTTAACCTGGTTATGATTTTGGGAATCAGAGCACACGTAACAGTAAATTGGAAGCAATAAATTGTCTGAAGAGCCATGTAAATAAATATTGACGGACGAGTAAATATTTATTTTCTTTCTGTTATCATGCAGCCTGTGGTTATTTCATAATTTTCATTAAAAAACGAATATTTATATTTCAAGATTTCCTACATAAAAATCAATACTCTTATTTAATGAAAATTAAAATTGGTAATCACCTTCTACGACTTAAATTTTATTGGTATTTCTTTACTTAAATAACATACGCTTTCAAATATAAGCTCCATGCAGATTCCACACGACTTCTCCAATGATTGTTGCTCCATGAATGCCATTTCCATTGCCTTCTCATGATTCGACGAGCATTCCTAAATAGCAGAATTAGAGAGGAATGCGAATGAAGAAGACGAAAATAGACTTTGAAATGCTCGTTGCGTTTATCCATTGAAAACGGGTGCATGCACCATGTATTGCACATATCACAGAGATCGCCGTGGGCAAATACGCATGTTTCTGAGCGCGGGCATTCGCCACTTTTTTCGAAATATGGACAAAGTGCGAGGTTCTCGAGTCGTTTCTGCTCCAAATACTCGGCCGAATTTGAAGCGCCGGCCGCAGCGGCGTAGCTGTTCACTAGAAATATAACGAATTGGCATTATTTAGGATTTCATTGAAGACACAAACCAGTATTCTTTTTCCAACTAGGGATGAATTCGGGTGCCTGAACATTCAATCCTGGTTTCGGAATGGCGGCAGGTGTTGGTGGCTTTACAACCCTCGGCGTTGCAGCACCAGTACTAGTGGTCGGTCTTGAACTGCTAGTAGTTGGTCTTGGACTTTGCGAGTTTGGTTTTCGGTGATCAAATCGACAACGATTTCCAAACGAACACCTAAACTATAATTTCATTTCAATCAATAAATCTTTTCTAACCTTCCAATGGCGTAAAATTGACAAATTTGCGAATTCACAGAACTTCGATCATGTGAGTACCTAAACATAAAATAAAGGAAAACCCATTCCACGTGCTAACCTGCAAGAATCTCCCATATCACATGCACCATTCGCAAAATAACGACACACCGGAGTTGAATTACTCATGTTTGGCCTTTAATTTATCAAAATATATGTGAAATCAATAAAATGAAACGGAAGCTCCAAATAATATCAATGAAATTTCAAAATCACATTATTATTTACATAAACTCTTGCCATTTCTGGATAAGGATTAAAAAAAAAGAAAAATTCGCGTTTTTCACGCTCTATTGAACATCTGTATTTCTCTGCACCCTCTGCATATTAGTCACCAAATTTTCATTTTTTTTGTTATCAATATTTTAAAGAGTTTTATGGCAATTTTGGTCATTGCGATTATCCTAATTTTCGAATAAAATATTAATTATCGCTCACTATTGAAGAATGAGCAGATGGTTGCAACTCTAGAAAAAAACTAGGCTTTTTTGGGCTGTCTAGGGATTTACCTCGAAAATTAATTTTCAAATTGCTTATTATTGAAAATGCTATGGCATCGATTGGAAAATAAATAAAATTAAGCGTGAAATTAAATATAGATAAACAATCATTTTAATTTACCACGAAATATCGTGAATAGTTCCTTTCTTCATGTGACGAAATGTTTTCTAGCAATGTGAGAGTATTTCAAAGTCTCTTTTGTTCGATTCAAACGAGAAAAAATGTTCAAAACTGACAGACAATAATCTATTACGGGCCAAAGAGAAAAGGAAAAGAGAAAAAATTTCAATGCAAAAAAGAGAAAAATGATGATTTTTAAATTTCTTGATTTCCCTTTTTTACATTGAATTTTTTCCATAATTTTTCTTTTTTAATTTTTCTGCTTTGCCTCATTTTAAACAAGTTTGCCAAAAAATTGTCAAGAATAGTATGTGTTATATTCAGCATGACCCTATTTCAAAATGTTTTTAAGCTTATTTTGTATTCGTTTTGACTGCTCATTCTCAAGGATATCTCTTGCTTCCTATACAATTTATCGAAAAATGGACAATTGTCGTTTTCTCTCATTCGTTTCAATACTTGATATATTGAAAGGATTCCCCAGAACTATTCGAATTTGCCCAAATTTTTGATCTCTCCGTGCGCTTTTCCTAGTCAAATTTTTTTTGGACTTTGAATGATCTAGTCAAATATTTGTCTGTGACAAATACTCTAAAGTTGATAGATAAATGGCACCACTGCTTGATAAGCAACGCGCGATCAAAATTTTTCTCGTTTCCGTCTATATTTAATTTTCTTTAAGAAATGCGTTTTTTTACAGAATGTCTGGAAAGGTTCACAAGAACGATGCGGGTTTCGAAAATGATTACGGAGATTTTAGCAAATTCAAAAAAGTTTATCCACCGCCGGTTAGTTGTCCGTCAGAAGCATTGCTCATAGTGTTATTGTTTTTATCTCTTCAAAACCTCACAACTATTGTTCAGATATTGAATAAGTTCTAAACAAAGCCCGAGCTTAGAAGTTATGCTAATTGTGCTTAAAAGTTGCGAAAAGTTTTTTTTCGAAATTTGTTAGCCATTATTGATTAAAAATTTTTTCTTTTTTCAACTGTTTGTTTATAAGTTATTCAATATCTGAACAAGTTTTGAGATTTTGAAGAGATGGGACTATGCTGAAAAAACCATCGCAAAAAAGTTAGCTTCACTACCTGTGATAGCCAAATTCCCACTGTTTAAATTCGAATTTAAATTACCGCCTCGATAAAGTGCGATAGTCCACAATTATGCAAGGCGGTTTTTTTGAGAAAGAAAAATATAATTTTTCCTTTTTTTTTAATTTTATCTGCATTGACCCTTTATAGAGCAATTCATTACAAAAACATTATAAAATTTGAACGCAGTTACAAAAGGAAAAATTTTTTTAAACTGCATTTAACATACAAAAGAAAGCCAAATAATCTGACCAAGTTAAAAGGGAATTGAGGATCAAACATCTATAAATGAAAAATGAGAAAGAAAAATGCGGGACCAAATTGAAATTTTCGAAATAGAGACAAGAATTAATGTAAAACTATTATTGTCGACTTTGCGCGACGCTGACAATCTCGGAAACTTTTTGGATTAAAAAAAAGCTTGTAAACAGACTTTGCAATTGGATTAGCTTAAGATTTGAACTTTAATAAAATTCACGTGTTTTCAGATGGCATTCCACGAATGGATCTACCTTCAATACATTCTGGTTTCCGGAATTTACATGCTTGAGCCATGGGAGAGAAAACTATTCAATTCGGCGATCATCATATTCATCGCAATAATTTGCTTAATCCTCCGTTACTTACTATTCTAATCATTTTTTAGAGTTTTTATTCTATATTGCAAATTTCTAGAAACGTGTACATAGTCTTGCCGATGACAGACAAAAACACTCCAAAACTATTCAATAATCCATGATTGATTTTATTTTCTTGCCGAAAACTATTCTGTGATCCGATTGCACTAAATAAAACTAGTATTTATTATTATATCTAAATTGTTTTCGCATTATTTCATAAGTAACTAATTAAATGCTTTTTGAAGTTATTTCGAATTTTTGAAGATTTGCGAAAAGTGCGAGAGATTTCAGGTAAAAAATATAAAAAGTTGTTCAGTTTTATGGAAAACTACATATAAAGAAAAAATGATTGAAAATTGAAGAGAAGTGAAACAATTGGCCAATAGAATTTTACGCAATTGTTATAGCAACCATCCAATTCTCGATTCAAACATCCGGTAGAATATAAATGTGACTAGAATAGACATATTTCTTGAATTTTCGAATTACACAGTGCGACTGAGAAAATAACAAAAATTGTTTAAAAATGAATGAAAAATGGTTAGATATTTCCATAGTACGACCCATTTTTCATTAACTTTTTAGCCAATTTTTGTTCATTTTCTAGTTTCAGTGAAAAAGTATTATCTGGTTGAAAGTAGGAAAAATTATGGAATAAGTAGCTCAGAGGAACTTGGATTCATGCACACATAAAGAAAAACTTCATGAAAGATTCTCAGAAGATGAGATTGATATGATAAGGAAGTCGAAAATCTTTAAAAATTATTCCAATTTCTATAATATTAATTTAAATTTGCAGCTTAATGCTAAGTTGGTTTTAATTAAATCAAAGTATGCGCCAAAATCGTAGATCAAATTTCGTGATGCCAAAAATGAAATTTCCATTTCAATGAAATACTTCCAAAATATTGACTTCAAAACGATATTCTGATTAAAAACGCGTATCTCCTTAGCTTTTCCCCAATACAGATTTCAGAATTATTTTCGGAATACACCATTTCACTGCGATTTGTGGCGATAAGGCTGCTGATAACGCAACATAATAATCAAACTGTTGAAATTGTACACTTGCATCATAATAGCGAGCGGAAAAAACTAATCATCCAGCGATATCTGTGTCGGATCAGCGCGCGCAGCGCACACACCCGATTCCATCGAGATATTCGGAGATCAGCGGACGACTTCCGTATTCATCGTCGCTTGTTTTGGGTGCGTGCGAGGTTCACATTGTCTTTGTCGAATATCTAGTTTGGTTTCATGTGAGCAACACACTTTTTTCATATCTAAATCAATTTCTATGAGTTGGAGTTTAAAATAATTATTATCTCAATTTAGATCAATTTTTAACAAATACTAAACATTCCAAAATTGAAGTATTCATCTGGAAACCTCTCTCAAGTGTTTTGATGCATTTGAACTTTTATTATTCTACGAGTTGTACCAACCACGTTCTTTGATGTGATTATCAGTTTTAGATTGTTCAATAGTTTCGTTACGTATTAGAGATTGTTCACATTCAAAAATAACATGCATATATAAGACCTGTTTTCCTAACACGATTTACCAACGAAAACGCAAGCAATTCAAACCCGTTGAACTTTTCTCAGCGTGATCTCTCGAATCTCCTTGTCGATTAACGGTCAATTATTTGCTGCGTGTGTTTTCATTCAACTTCGATTGGGCAAATGTGATTATCAACATACTTTGTTTGTTAGATTTGATTAATTTGGATTACTAGCAGTACATCAATTACTCTACGGTCAAACATCGGAACTTTGAAAACAATTGTGATCTTTCGCTCCACGTGACTCTCACTGATTGCAAAATTGCGTTTAAACACTGCAAATTGTTGATCACGTTCATTGTTTCCATTGCGAATGAATGAGAATGCGCTATTTTGGAATATCCACTTAATTCTTGCAAACGATGTTACAATACAGCAAGCTCCGCCTACACTTCATCCATAATTATTCATTTTAATAATTTCTCGTAGAATTTCATATTTTTTCTATACATTTGAATAAACTTTTCAAATTTCAGCCATGAAGATTGCTATCATCGGTCAATCAGCGTTTGGAGTCGATGTCTACAAGGAACTTCGTAAGAATGGGCATGAGATTGTCGTTGTTTTCACGATTCCTGACAAGAATGGTCGCGAGGACCTTCTAGGTATTGATCTCACTCTGAATTTGAATTTTGTTTTAATTTTCAGCCATCGAAGCTGCCAAAGACGGTGTTCCAGTTCAAAAACCGGCGCGTTGGCGCAAAAAGAATCCCGCGACTGGCAAATTCGAGACGCTTCCCGAAATGCTTGAATTGTACAAATCGTACGGCGCCGAGCTCAACGTTCTCCCATTCTGTACCCAATTCATTCCACTCGAGATCACCGAAGCGCCGCCACTCAAAAGTATCATCTATCATCCGAGTATTCTGCCGAAGCACAGGTATTCCCCGAGATTTTATCGTTTGTTGTGCCGCTTTGATTAGAATCTGAGATTATCGCTGCGAGTTCCAATTTTGGTGTTTGATCGATTTGATGGCTAGCCCGCAGATTAGGTCCCGACATATGAAAATGCAAACTAACGCCGCGGGTTCTGGCACACAAGACCTCCTGCGTGGAGCCTATTCATTTCTGGTCCGTTCATTTTTTTTTTGATTTTGGAGTACTATGCATTTTTCGGGAATGAAGCCTGTAAAACGCCTTGAAAATCATGTTCAATTTGCAAAAAAAACTAGTTGTTTTCGAGCTTTATTCCCAAAATCTAATAATTTCTTAGAATGGAAATTTACCTTCTAACATCATTGAAAAATAGTACTGCTAAGGGCCTCAATGTGCAGAACGGGTCCCCATATAAATATATGGCCCACAGTGAAAGAAAACCTAATATTAAAAACCGTTTATCTGATCTGAATATCAATTACCATTGATCAGAATCAAGACGACCATCTGCTGAGAACACTTGAACGAAATTTCATAACGTCACAAATCGAAGATCAGTCAACGTTTGATTGAACATTGATAAACCACAATAAAATAACATTGTATAAACGAGACATTCAACGTCACTTACTAGAATTTGAAAATCTTTGACGATTATTGAAACATTCAAGTTTTTAGAGGAGCTTCTGCTATTAACTGGACATTGATTGATGGTGATGAGGAGGCTGGCCTTTCAATTTTCTGGGCTGACGATGGTCTTGACACTGGACCGCTTCTTCTCCAGAAAAAATGCAAGGTTGAGGAAAATGATACTCTAAACTCTCTCTACAAACGGTTCTTGTATCCCGCTGGAGTCGCTGCGATGGTAGCTTTCATTGATACTCAAAAACTCATTTGATATCAACAATTCAGGCTGAAGCTGTTGAGTTAATCGCCGCTGGAAAAGCACCAAGAATTGTGCAGCCCGAAGATGGCGCCAGCTATGATCCATACATCACCACAAAGCCGGAGCTTGCACAAATTGACTGGAAGAAAACTCAAAGAGAGCTTCACAATTTTATTCGAGGAAATGATAAAGTTCCGGGAGCATGGGCAATTCTAAATGGCGAGAAAGTGACATTCTTCGGCTCGAAACTTTGGAAGCCAAAGAAGCTTCCGGAGGATGCTGTAGAAGTGCCAGTTCCGGAAGTGCCAGGAGGCAAAGTGCTCGTGGAAGACCGAGGACTTCTGTTGCCAGGAAGCGATGGAAAATGGGTGATTGTTGATACTATCAAGATCGGAACAAAGACTGTGCCAGCTTCCAAATACGGACAAGGTGCTGATCAAATGCAGGAGCTTGTTCTCACTGATGACGAGAAAATTGTTGTTGATAAACTGAAGGTATAGATTCTTCTTTTCAAATTTAAAATGCAAAATGTTGATTTCAGAAAATCTGGTCTGGAATCTTGAAGGCTTCCGTCAACAATGACACCGACTTCTTCGAATCTGGTGCTTCATCGGCGGACGTCACAAGATTAGCCGAAGAGATCAAATTTCACACTGGTGCCGAACTTGAAGCTACCCAAGTCTACATGGCCCCAACTCTCGGCGAGAACATCAATGTCGTCATTCGTAAATTGCGTGGAGAGGATCAAATCTCGATCGACTACGATCCAATTGTGTTGAATGTTAACAATATGGAGCTCAAGTTCCCACACGAGATGTTCATCGATGGAAAGTTCGTTAACTCGTCAAGTGGAAAGACATTCCAAACCATCAATCCGGCTACAGAAAAGCCAATTTGCTCTCTTCCACTAGCCAGTGTCGATGACGTGAATCGGGCGGTTAGAGCTGCGAAGAAGGCGTTCGAGAGAGGAGAATGGCGTCAAATGTCGGCTAGAGAACGCGGAAAGAGACTCTATAAGCTCGCTGATCTCATGGAGCAGCACAAGGAGGAACTTGCGACACTTGAATCGATCGATGCCGGAGCCGTGTACACTTTGGCATTGAAGACTCACGTCGGAATGTCTATTGATGTCTGGAGATACTTTGCTGGATGGTGCGACAAGATTCAAGGAAAGACGATTCCAATTTCGAATGCTCGACCAAACAAAAATTTGTGTCTTACACTTCGCGAGCCGGTCGGCGTCGTCGGACTTATTACACCATGGAATTACCCATTGATGATGCTCTCATGGAAGATGGCCGCTTGTCTTGCCGCTGGAAACACGGTCGTTCATAAACCGGCGCAAGTCACCCCATTGACTGCTCTCAAGTTCGCAGAGCTCTCAGTTCTCGCTGGAATTCCACCAGGTGTTATTAACATCGTCACCGGTTCGGGAAGTCTTGTTGGAAACGCGCTTACTGGTCATCCGGACGTTCGCAAGATTGGATTCACTGGATCGACGGAGATTGGTGCAACTGTTATGGAAAGGTAACATTCTGTTGATTTTCGAATGCGGTTTCAATGATTTATAAAATTTGCAGTTGCGCCAAATCGAACATCAAGAAGGTTTCGCTGGAACTTGGAGGAAAATCGCCGCTCATCATCTTCCCGGATGCCGATTTGGAGAAGGCTGTCAAACAAGCATGCGGTGCTGTTTTCTTCAATAAAGGCGAAAATTGTATCGCCGCCGGCCGTGTGTTCATCGCCAAGTCGATTCACGACGATTTCGTCAAAAAACTTGTCGCTGAAGCCAAATCCTATGTCATCGGAGACCCATTGGATCGCTCTACCGCTCACGGACCACAAAATCACAAGGCTCATTTGGATAAGCTTGTTGAGTACGTGCAAAATGCTGTGAGGGATGGTGCCAAAATCGAGGTCGGAGGATCTCGATTGGACCGTGAGGGACTCTACTTCCCACCAACCATTCTTTCCAACATCGATGATGAGAATTTCGCCGCTCGTGAGGAATCGTTCGGACCAATCATGTGCATTTCGAGCTTCGATGATGAGTAAGTTCAACCCATCCGAGATTTCTCTACGTATGTACGCTTTTGCAGTGATGTTGAAGACGTTCTTCGTCGCGCCAACGACACTGAATTCGGTCTAGCAGCTGGCGTCTTCACAAAGGTTTGACATCTTCTCTCGATATTAACTAAATTCAATAATTGCATTCTAGGATGCCTCGAAATCCCTCCGAGTCGCTGAAGGACTCCACGCCGGAACTGTCTTCGTCAACACCTACCAGAAGACCGACGTTGCTGCTCCATTCGGTGGATTCAAACAGTCCGGATTCGGAAAGGATATGGGAGAAGAAGCCCTGAATGAGTACCTTCAAACGAAAACCATAACTATTGAATACTAATTAATTTAATAATTTGACCATAGATATTGCCTAACTTGTTTTGTGATGACTATTTGTAAAACTGTGATAAACATTATTATTATTATTATAAATCATATAATCTATCAGTTTTTATTGGCAATAATTAGTGGTCAATCTGAGATTCTAAAGACGCCGCCATCTGTTCGGCGGCCAAATGATGTGAGTTGCTCGTCCTTTAACGAGACCGGAATTAACAGGACCATAAACGTTGCTGTCGTTGCGATTCACCGGATTGTCGCCTTCCATCCAATAATGGCCTTTCGGGATTTGTGTGAGAACATCGCGATGTTCGGGCTTCACGAATTTTCCTTCAGTAGCCGTAACACGCTTGATGTGAATTGAAGATGGATCACGAGGACATCTGAATAATAATGTAATTATATGTATCTCAGAACATCGATTGCGTGTCCTACAAATTGAATATTTATTTGAAATTGTAAGTTTAGCACATTTCCTCAAACAATCAAACATATAAGAGGGCACTTGACTCGGAGTCAACATTTTTTTTTAATTTCGATAAGTCGTTTGAAATTGAATATCTGTCAAAAAAATACGTTCACCAAATTTAAATGTTTTGAATGGAAATTTTAAGAAACACATTTTTATATAGTGGAACTCTTCAAACTTTGGAAAAATCCAGAAATCATTCAAAAACTAAAAAACTGTTTTTAAATCCAGATTTAAATCATGTTTTAAAAGTTTTTTTTCCTAGATCTGAATAATTTCATAACTATGAATATTCATTTGAACACGAATTTGTTAGCAATTTTTAAATTGTGTTTTCGAAAAAAATGAAACGCTCCAAATCGTTTCGTTTTATTATCAGGAAAAAAATACGAAACTCACATAAAAGTCAATATAGTTCCCGGATTGCAATCATAAAGGCACCACGTTGAAAGCCACACGAAATCCCGTTTCCACCATCTCGCATCTTCGCCTTGAAGTGTTGGAAACATTGAAAGACCTGATAAATTTTTTCATGCACGACAAAAACCCACAAAACGTCGAAAAAACCTATAACTTGAGCCGGATGTCCAACAACATCAGAAAACGTGATTCCCGCACAAGTTCCAACTATCAGTTTTCCAAGTTTTCGAAATATTGGGCGCATTTTCTAGTCTAAAGTGTAAAATTTTTATTTTTTCATTAAAACACAAATTTTTTGAAATAATATAATTGGTGAATCATTCCAGATAAAAATTAAAAGAAAGATAAATTCAAAAAAACTCATTATGATATCATTTTATTATTTGCGACATGGTATAAAGCCAGTACCGGTTAGTAAATTATACAATAAGTTAGAAAATTTACAAATAATTGGATTTGACATTTATACATAAATCGAAACGCATTTACATGACGATACACTGCAAAAATCGTATTAATTATATTTTCTTTATATATTATATTCTAACCTTATGATGTTCTTTGGTGCTCTTCACACTTTCATTAGTTGTGCTTTTAGAAATTGTTTTCTTTGGTGTGGCGGCTTCTCTTTCAAGATCCGCTTGGGCTGCAGCGATAGCTTCTTGATCACGAGCATCGATAATATGAGCACTATTAATAGAAATATTAGATTTGATAAGGTACAATGTACTTTTACCTTTCGTTGGAAGGTGTAACTGCAGCGATTGGCTCAGGCGGAGCTTCTCTGAAAATAATTGGTGAATTTTTCGGAATTTACAATGGGCGAATAGGCGTATTAAAAGAAATAATACTGTTTTTCTACAAAATTACCTGTAAGTGTGAAATTCCGCGTCAACGAAAAATGAATCTCCATCAATGCTGCTCAGCGACTCCCAGACAACATTCTTTTCATTGGCAAATCCCTCGTCAGTTACCAATGTGAAAATCTCATCCTAAATTATACATTTTAATAATAAATATTATTAGACAAAAAACCCTGCGCTTCAAAATAGTATTGAAGTGATTGTTGCGGAAAAGAACAGCAATCTCTCCGTCTTTCATATGAGACACAAGTGTGCTCAAGCCGTGGAACGTAATTTGAGAGAGAGAATCTAAAACAAAGACTATTAAAGAGTTATTATCGGAATAGCTACCGTTGTAGAATTCCTCAAGGAACGCCTTATTTGGGTCTGCATCATTGCACATTCTGACTACCAGATCGTTGTAGCTCAAGTTCTTCACGACGTCGTAGATAATCGTAAGCTGCGGATCAGGAAGCCAAACATGATAAAGTGGAACGTTGAGAAGGTCAAATAGTGACAATGCGGTAGTGAACTCAAAATCAGTGATATTTGAAAACCTTAAATACAAGCACAAATAGAAAACTATTGATTAAATAAAACTGACTTGATATTTACATCGAGCCCATTGACAATTTTTGGAAGCATTGGGAGTACATCTTGAAGATTTGCTTCGAATATCTCTTTGCGATCTTCCGCAACCGGTTGCTCTAGGAGCAAATTGCTGAGGAAATTCACCAAATAGTCATCGCGAACGATAGTCTCATTGATTGTTGCTTTGCCTAAAAACCATAATTTATTTACATTTTGGTTCAAAAGCTTACCTTTAAGAATGAGAGCATTAATCAAGGCAACCAAAGGGCATGGTCCATTTAAATTCTGGGTTATGATGTTGTACTCAATAATTCCAAAGTGAATCTTCTTCATTTTAAAATATTTGTTTGGCGGAGTTTCCTTCGTCGCAACCAAGTTTTCTTTCGCTTCAACTCCAGTTTCAATACGGTCCGATTGATCTTTAGAAGTTGAAGCAACCTCATGTGCTTCTGTGACAGCTTCTGGTGCTTTTTCAATGAGTTCCTCTGATGATTTCGGCTGATCAGCGCTTTCAGAATCAGGCAGTTTTTGTTGAAACGCCACTAGTCCATCTTTTTCAACAAGAAGAAGCACGTGTTCGACGGTATTTTTCACCTCTTCCTCTCTTTTCTTTCTGTCCAGACTCATCTAGAAGATAATGTTCATTATATTGTTATACATATATGATTCCATACCCAAACACCATCTTCTGAATACACAAAATCCATTCTGAGACCTTCCACGGAATTCTGACACAATTTTTAATTATTCTAGCACGTGACCCTTTTAGTTTAATACATTTTAAACATTATTTTTAAATTAATAATTTCAAATAAATTATTATGTTTCTAACCTGCGAATTAGTATTCAATTCATCTTTCTTTTCACTTTCCATCCCTGAAATGTATTTTTCGTCGTGATTATCAGCAGAAATACAAAACAGAAATGCAGAAATCGCTTTAGAAATGTCCAGAAAGAGAAACGAAAAAATAAATAAATATGTGACTCCGCCCACTGCAAACTCGGCACGGTTATCTGCTTCCCGGCCGCATGCGTTTTGCAATTGCTTGAAATCTCACATGATTTCATTTTTTCCACCTGTCTCACACTTTTAAGGTTTTTTCGTTTCAGAATGGATCTTCAAAATCTTGTGAACAACGTAAAAAGCGTAGCTCTCAATATTGGCGAACGATTCACGCCAATTCTCAAAGAGAGCAAGTTTAGGTATTTTATGACACTCTTCGATGACTAACCACTAAAATTTAGGGAGACAGGTGTTTTAACACCGGAAGAATTTGTGGCCGCCGGTGATCATTTGGTACATCACTGCCCAACATGGAAATGGGCGCCAGCCGCTAATCCTTCAAAGAATCGTCCGTTTTTACCGAATGATAAGCAATATCTGATAACCAGAAATGTTCCATGCCACAAAAGGTGCAAACAAATGGAATACGACGAAAAGTTGGAAAAGGTTTTACTCTTTTTCAGTATAGGAATTTTTATTTTTTGATTTAAGATAATAAACAGTCAGGAAATTGACGGTATCGAAAATGGCGACGCCGACGGAGAATGGGTTGACACTCATCATTATAGTGCTGAAAAAGATGTTGCAACACCAATGGTGATCGAGCTCGAACAAGAAGTGAGAAATTTATGATATTATATTTTCATTTTTTTTCTACTTTAAAAATATTGCCCAAAAGGTCGTCTGTCGGGTTATTTTTTGAATTACGTGACGATTTTCCAATGTTTTGTCAAATACTAACAATTTCTAGCTGAAATTAAATGTAAAAACGGAAATTTGAATTTTTTGAAGAAAACCACTGAGAATGAAGACGAGGAAGAAGCCATCGACCTTGACGATCTGGTTGAATCTGGAGGACTTGAGGATATTGATCCGAATCGATTCATTGCATCGACTCCTTCCTCAACTCAGAATGTTGAAGTTGAAAAACCGCGTACTTATGATCTTCATATTTGCTATGACAAATTTTATCAAGTAATTTCGTTTTTGTTGTTTCGTGTTATTTTCAACATTCATTGAAGGTCCCGCGCTTGTACTTAATGGGATACGACGAAAATCGAAAGCCACTAACGGTTGAACAAACTTACGAAGACTTCTCAGCAGTACTAAATCGAATATCCTTTTCTTCGCTATTCCCCATTATTAATATTTAGGATCATGCAAATAAGACGATCACTGTTGAGACCCATACATCAATTGACTGCGACATGCCAACGGTTCATCCTTGTAAACACGCTGAAGTAGAAAATCTTTGAAGAGAATAAAATGTAATTTTGAAATTGAGTTTTTAGATGATGAAACGCCTAATAAATCAATATGCTGATAGTGGAAAGGAACTCAATGTCCATGAGTACCTCCTGCTTTTCTTGAAGTTCGTACAGGTAAGCATAATTTTATAAATTTAATTGAACAAATGCTGCAAATTTTAATAGGATTTTTGAATTATACCGATATCCGTTAAGATAAATATAATAATTTAAAAAAAAATCGATCGAAACTGTTAGTATAAAAAACATGTATTGCAGGCTGTAATTCCGACTATCGAGTACGACTACACAAGATCAATCAAAATTTGATTTTTTTTTAAATTTTAATTGTAATTTAGAGCTCATAATTTGTAAATACTGCTTACTAGTATTCAATTTTTATGTTATATATGTTATGTACTTTTATTACATTTTCATGTTGTTTATTTTCATTCGCATTTCATGTCACTATAAACGCCTCATTTGATACAAATTTACATATAGTTAACCTATTTAGAAACATTTCGTTTCTTTAACCATTTCTACCATGAGAATGCTCAACTTCATCTCTATTTCGGCAGTTATGCTCATTATTTTAATTTCTTTTTGGACTTTTTGTACATCACCGCACGATTCGAAAAACGACTTTGAAAAAACTGAATACTTTGATAATTTTGGGTCTTTTAATAGTAAGGGGTTTTAAATTTAGTTATCAGAAAAAAATACAATTTTTGAAGATGCTACCGAAATTGAACATACTTTGTGCTCACCTTATATTATTAGAAATATTCCGAATGATTTGAAGCAAATAATTAAAAGGAAAAGGTATTATAAATATAAACTGCATATTATATTATTCAAAAAAAAAAAACGAAAAGGGTCGCTTGTGGTTCTGAAATGCTGAATATGGTTGAGTTTTTCAATTCTGGACATATTCGACTATCTAGAAATGCAGAAGGATATAGGTAAATTAATAATCGAAATTATAAAATAAATTGATTTCAGTTGTGGTTTCGCTGAAAATTTGAACGAGCCCAGTGAAAACGGAAAACTCGAATTTTCGAAAAACGAAATAAAAGTCAACGATTTGGAATGTTTCAAATTTTTAATTGTTATTTCAGATTCCACCTGGAGTTCTTCTAAAAGTACCTTATACATATTTTGTTGCCTTCTGTCGTGATAATTCAGGAGCCTACGCGTATGTGAAATCATTTGTCAATTTTGCTCCAAGATTTGAGCGAAATCTGATACGAAACTAAAAAGCGACGGTAATTATTATAAAATAATTAGCAAAAATGTGTCTAATATTCAGAAATCGCACAATAATTTAATGGTTCTATCAATTTCGAATGTTTCGCACAATCAAGCAATGCGACACTGGCCCAGATTCTTCAAGCTTCTCCATGAAAATGATTTCGTTTCGTTTTCAATGTTCAATCAGGTATTTAAGAATTTAAAATCTTATAAGAAGAAGAATGAAAGTTGAATAATTGGCAGGCTTCCATGAAGAACACCGAGAATTGGAAAAAAATGTTCAGTGATCAGAATGGAAATTATTTGTGGACTATTATTAAGAATGGTTATGGACCTATTCATGCAATGAAAAAAATAATAAAAAACAATTTTTTTCATTTGAATTCCCTACGCACGCACGTCAAAAATTACAAAAAAATTGACGCGATATATCATAATTCTCCGCTATTTATTTTCAAAGGCGCAGGAAAAAAGTTGCGCAGGTCACGTCGCAAAGTCGGTACTGTATTTTTTAATGGCTGTTATTTTTCGAATTATTGATTTTTTGAGCGTTTAAAACGTTTTCTTTTGGAAATCTGTAAAAGTATATTGAGTAATTATACCAATAATAATTTATTTTACTCGTTCCTAAATCTGTTCCTCATTTTCTGTTACTCTAATCTTCAATGTTTTCAAAAAATACGGAAAAATAGCACATAGAATGAAAAATAAAAAATTACAGTACCGACTTCGCGACGTGACCTGCGCAACTTTTTTCCTGCGCCTTTGAAAATAAATAGCGGATAATTACAATATATCGCGTCAATTTTTTGTAATTTTTGACGTGCGTGCATAGGGAATTCAAATGAAAAAAATTGTTTTTTTTTTTTAATTTTTTTCATTGCATGAATAGGTCCATTAACATTTTAAATTTTTCATCATAATTTCAAAAAAATATTTCAGAAACAAAATGTTTGACATTTCTTCATGACGATATTCAGCAGGGATTTAGGATCCCAAACAATACAATTGCCGATTTTCATACTCGCATATTCCATTTATACAATCAAGAAGTGCTTGTGAGACCTGAAAAAACAGGGCATTGCATGGCTGATGGGCGTGTGAACGCCGAAGATTATTTGAGTATTTGGAAGAATTTTTCGATTGTTTCCAAGCGATTCTGCCATTTTTCTCTTGTTCATTTGTCTGATATTTCAGCATATGATGAAGGTGAAATTGCAACAATCGAAGATCATCTGATGTAAGTCCAACGAATACATCGAATCAAATCAATTTGATGATTCAGAAATATATTCAAGGAATTCAAAAACGAAGGAGTATTCGAGAATTCTTCGATTGTGATTCTATCAGATGGAGGAAATACGAAAATGTATGTCGTGCAATCTGTTTTATTAAATGCTACATAGCATTAAGACCTTCGTGGAATACGGTTAGCGGAAAACTTGAAGCAAATCTCGGATTATTAGCAATTCGGGTGGCAAATAATTTTGCTGAAAGAAATATTTTAAGAAGAAATGCGGACAGGTAGGCCGCCTACTTCAAAAAAGAAATTACGAATACATTTTACCAAATGGAACCTGAGCATGGAATATGTATAAGCCAAATGGGGCTGTGGCAATTCGTTATTTTGAAAAAAAGTTCATTTTCGAATTTATCGAAACAAACTAGGAATTAGAAAAACAAACGCAAAAAATCGAGCACCTTATGTAATAGATTTATGGTGAGTTAACTTTATCCAGAGCAGGGCTGTGCGGCAATCGGAAATTTCGGCAATTCGGCAATTCGGCAAATTGCCGAAAATCAAAATTTCGGCAATCCGGCAATTCGGCAAATTGCCGATAATCAAAATTTCGGCAATTCGGCAATTCGGCAATTTGCCGAAAATAAAAATTTCGGCTATTAAATGTTTTCAACGATAATTCGAAATATAAATACCGAATTTTCACGGTATCCCAAATTATTCAATGGACATTGATTTTGGTTTCGCCGATTTTTTTTTTGATATCAAATTGCCGAAAATCAAAATTTCGGCAATCCGGCAATTCGGCAATTTGCCGATCGAACGTTCTCTTCGGCAATTCGGCAATTCGGCAATTTGAAAAATCGGCAATTTCGGCAATCGGCAATTCCCTTGCCGCACAGCCCTGATCCAGAGTACCCGAATTCCCACGGTTTAAATTCGAATTTGAATTGCCGCCTCGAAAAAGTGCAGTGGTCCACAATTTGTCGAAGTGCTCATTTTTTGCGATGGTCTTTAATAGTAGGTTAATACTGTGAGCAAAAACTCGGTCTTAAGCCTGATTTTTTTTTACATTCTCACTTTTTTCCGAATCCGATAAAAATGTGCTCAAAATGATAAATAAATAGTAATTCCAAATAGTTTATCAGTTTTGGAACCGCAAATATTTTATAATTTGTCTAACAAGGGAGGTAAGAAAATTATTTTCCAAAAGTGCTCAAATATGTCAAGTTCATATTTCAAGCCTAGGTCCCATTTGGCAAAGAGGGGTCTTGTTTTTTTTTTTAAGATGGACCCTATTGACTTTTTGACCCTTTTTGTTACTCGGGTCCCTTCTTGACCCCATTTGGCATCATATGCCTAGATAACTATTGATAATTATAAAATTGGAGAGGTTTTAAAGGTTGATCTCAAATCGTGATGTTTTCTCAACTCTTTTCGAACTGTCAACGTCAATCCCGAATCGCGATTCCCTGTTTTCAAGGAAATTATCTGCAAATCGAACGTGTGAAGAAGCTGAAATATCCGCTGAAAAATGTGTATGCTCAAAGATTTCGATTTTCAACAATTTCGACAAGTAAAATCTCACTTCTATGTATTTCATATAATCAATAAAATTTTCAGAGAAAAAATACTCAAACATCTCGCAGATCTTCTCACGATTGAATTCTCACCGCAAAAATGTATATCGCGAATTGTTGTTGAAAATTTCGATAATATTGTATTCAAAAATGCGCAATATTTCACCTATTTCAAATTTGTTGCGAGTTTGGAGACGGCAAGACCGCTTCCGAGAAAATTCGCGTTTTCCGGCGCCGTTAGAATGGGAGACCAATTCGATTTGGCGTTGGATGGTCCGATGATTTTGTCAAAGAACACCCAAAATTGCACAATTGATAGGTACATATATCTGAAAAATCGTCTCAAATAATCAGCAATAAGAATTCAGCATCTGTTCGCGATGCCACAACTCAAATCTGCATAGAACCCTATTTGCATAATCCATTTTCAGAAATTTCAAAAAATCATATTTAAAAATAATTAAATAAACTAATTGAGATGATCAGTGTTTTTTCTTCCACTTCTATACTTGTTGCCCTCATTTAATCCTCGACCTCAATTTCTGTCTGCGTCTCACACTGTGTAAACGCTCTCTCGCATTTTTGGCGCTGCGCCAATCGATTTTCACACATCCGACAATCCCGTATACATTTAAAAAAAAAAACAAACAAGTTTTTGTTCAGCATCGAATTTTCGAAACAGCGACATCACGAAAACACTCAATTTTTTGCACATGGAATTGATTTAACATGTGGTTTTTGATGGAAAAGTTGAGCACATATGCTTTGAGCTTTTAATGCCGATGGGAATCGACACCATCGAACTGCTGCTTCTCCTAGCATTTTTTTTCTCAGAAGATCCTCATGCTTGTTTTTATTCTCATTTTCACGCACTGCAAAATGTTCGGTTTAGTTTGATAAGAATTTCGCGAACAGTAACGAGATTTAATGAAATGAATTGTCAGCATTTTTCGAGGTGGTTTTTGAACAATTTTCTATGGACCAAATATTCGTTTTCATATTTTCGGATAATCTTCCGCTTCTCGGCTACCAGCGTTTTGAAAAAAAAAACAGATCCCGGCCCTGAGGGTCCGTGTTTGAATTGCCGCCACCGCTCTTAACAACGAACGGGCTCTTGTGACGCATCCCGGGAAATGTCCGCAGATTCCCACAATAAAATCACTCTTGTTACTGCTCAAAACACAAAAGCAGGCCGTACATACGTCTCAGGGCCGGGCTCTCATTTTGAAAACCCGGCCGGAAAGGAAACGGACTAA